TTTGTTGTTATATACCTGGATGACTGAGAAAACAAACTTTGTGTTTTACTAATTATATTTTATATTGGATGAGAATGTTTCTGTAGAGACCTGAGAACACGTATGTTGGGACTTATAGAAATAAAATGAATTGTTGGCACGCTCTTTTAGCCATTGTGGTTTTTTTTTTTTCTTCCCAGAGTTACGGTGGTGTTGGCAGGAAACAGGCGCCCCTTCCTTGGGGTCACAACATGTGATGGTCTCAGAATGTGGACGTGCTGGCTCTGAACGGTTTGGACCACGAGTCAGAACCAGAAGATAAGCTATTCTGTGAGTCACAAATGTTTCAGACATTTTTTTATTGTTTAAAATCTTCAACCAGGTAAAAACAACCAACAGAAAATGACAGAAATGTTAACTTAGTTGATCACTCAGCTGCTCCTCAGACATAAAAATGATGTTTCACCTGATAAAGGTTCGACTCACAGAGAAACAAGTAAAAACATTAAAGTGCACATTTGGGACCAACAGATGCATCACACATTTGTATAAAACAAAGTTATTTACGAGTCAGTCGAACAAGCCACTCTGAATAAATCTGAATACAAAGAAGAAAAAAAGAGACATCATGTCTCAATCTGACATTAAAATGTAGAAAACAGAGAAATAAAGATTTGAATTAAAGAAGATGCCTCACTCTGTTGCAGAGTGAAACTTACAAGCTACAAAACAAAGATAGAGTATTGCACAGATGTTCACGCTGTAGAGGAATAAAATGACAAGATCCAAACAAACTGAACAAAGATGGTAGTGAAAGATGATGTCTCACTCTGTTGTGAGCTAAGTGTCTGGTGACTCATTTCTTGAAGAACTTCTTGTTGAGGAGGAAGATGAGAAGATTAACATTAACTTTGGCCGTATCAAACATCTTCATCACTGCAACGCCCTCATACTGCAGCTGCAGCAGGTCCTGCACACACGCACGCAAACACACACAGGTAAATACAAGGTATTCATTCATTCAAGCTTTCTTTAATCAGATTAGTCTCCACTGAGCCTCCAGGGCTCATTTCAGGACTGGATCAGACCCGGTTTGGATCAGACCCGGTTTGGATTAGACCCAGTTCATACCTGGTATTGGAGCAGGAACTCCTCCATTTCCACCCCAAGAAACTGAGCTTTGACCCTGAAGCTCCCAGATCTGGGTCCAGGAAGGATGTTGAAGACAACGTTCTTAAACCTGGACGACAACAAACGTTAAACTGCGCTTGTCCTCATTGTGCGTGTCCTCACTGTGTCCTCACTGTGCGTGCCCTCACTGTGCGTGCCCTCACTGTGTCTTCACTGTGCGTGTCCTCATTGTGCGTGTCCTCACTGTGCGTGTCCTCACTGTGTGTCCTCAATGTGCGTGTCCTCACTGTG